GGGCCTGTGACCCCTGCTCATAAGAGAAAGACCTGCCAGCAAGAAACGGAGCCCGTTCCTTGAAGAGTTACAAATGCACAGCCTACGCCCCTGCCGCGTCCTGTGTGTCTATCCCAAGCGTGACAACGCTGCACAAGGGGGGGCCTCCGAGGCTCATGACATCAAAACTCGCGCCCTCCAGCCCCCCCAGAGCTCGCTACCACCCCCACGGAGGGCGAAGTCGTGGCTTTCGGATGTAGCTGAGAAGTGGCCGAGAGCCAGCCGGGCTGTGCATATAAACCCCGGCCCCTGCCTGTCCTCCAACCACAGCGCTCGACTCCTGAGAGCAAGCTGCAAGGATCAAGCTGTCCCTGGTTCAATCCCAACCGACCGGCCAGGACGGTAGTTCTTCCACATACACCCAGGAGGGCCAGGTCACTACAACACACAAAAAGGGCCGCCAGGAGAGGAGATCAAAGCAATCCCAGAATGCAATGCACAAGGCCCCTGCTGGGGTGACAAGATGGGAATTTCCCGCACAGGACTCTGCAGCGGCTTTGCACAGTCTGGGGTCTGGAAACAGACGTTTTCTTGGAAGCCCCTCTGCAAACATCACCACAAAGCACTTCTCAGAGCTAGTGCATGGTCCCTGCCAGGCCCAGAACAGTGTGGGGAGGGTGGGCTCCTGCCAGCGAGCCGCCACGCAGAGCGCTAACCCCCCGGAAAGCGGCCCCAGGAAGGCAGGCGTCAGGGCGTTCGGGAAGCCGGCTGGGGCAGGGCAGGCGCTGCGGGGGGACGCGGGGGCTTGCAAGGAGAGGGGCTCGGGGAGCGAGCCACGGGCAGCCACAGGCAGAGACACGGTGAGATTCCTGGTGCACACACGGACCCGCTGGAGGCAGATGTTTGCTGGGCTGATTGGCAGCGTGGAGATCGGAGTCTAGGGGCTGCACCTCGGCACACGGCGGTTCCTGGCATCGGCGCTGCTTCCGGGCAGGGCGAGACAGGGCAGAAGTCACATGACCCTGCTGCTGCCCCCCCCCCAAATAGTCACAAAGCTCTGGAGCCAAACAGGACACCTGGCTAATTGCTCCAGCGACGACTCCTCCCCCGCTCCCGAATTATCTCACTGTCATGCTGGGTGTGTGGGCCCAGGCTCCGGCCCAGAGCTGGACTGCAAGGGCCAGGCCTTGCCAGGCAGGAGACCCAGCTGCAATCTCTGCAGCAGCGGTGGGCAACAAGCCGTTGGCCAGGGTTAGCCCCCGGGGGGCTGCCCGGGCTTTTG